CGTTATTTTATCGCATTATACACACTCGAAGTGAAAAACAAAGGAAAGTCTCTGATACTTCTTTCGGCCACAAGTAATTTACAACCGTCCAATTGGAGTGCGTCATTTACACGAATGAGCGTGTCTACGCTTATTCTAATCTCTCCACTGTCACATTGAAATTGATTCGCGATGATCTTCGGTACATTCAAATTTGTATTTGTCCCACTCATATTCAAAACGCCATTTGAAGTAAAGGTAAATACATTCACATTCACTTCAGACGTATCTTTCATATCCAAATATTTCATCAAAGACAGTGTATTATCTCGTACCTTTATGACTGAATGGTCACTCATCACCACTCGAATTGTATTGCCTCCTATACTCATTTGTGATTTGCCACTCATTTCTGAGTAATCATACATATTAAAGTACACATCATTATACATATTAATGTTTCCGTCAGCAACAACTTTAGAATGGCCATATAACGAAACTGTGGCATTTTCAATAAAGTTTATTTGACTCGAAGAAACAAGTGTTGAAAAGTCTTTCATAATAAACTCAGATTTGCCTTGGAAGAACATATTATTGAGTGAAATTGCATTCGATTCATCTTCAAATGTCACACTCGCATTACCATAAACAAAAAGTTTGGATGAAGATAAGAGGAATGAACTTCCTCTCAAAGTGACTGTTGCATTTCCATAGATGTTCATATCATTCCCAGAAACTGCTTTCCCCCCGTCTTGAATTGTGAGCTTCGAATTTTTGAAGATTTCTATATTTTTGGATGTATTTAATTTTGAAAATGCAGAGAGACTCAGTGTCGCATATTCGTGTATGTTCATATTATCTGAAGTCTCCACGTGTGATTGTCCTCCCAAGTAAGTTTGCGAGTATCCAAAGAAGTCGACAGAAAGAGCAGAAACAAGAGAAGAAACATCAGTCATATTCAATAGAGAGTTGTCATATATATTTGTATTGTTCAACGAAGTCGATTTTGAACTTCCTTCAAATGTGATTTTTGAATTGTCTTTGAATTCGACAAAAGACGAGGAATTAAGAATGGACATATCTTTCATATTTAGTGTTGCATTTTCACTGATAATAATATTTCCTTTAGAAATGAATTGAGAAGTACTCAGACATTTTGTTGAAGAATTTCCATATAAAAAAGTACTTTTTGATGTCTCAACTCTTGAATTTTCTATTAATAATAGTTCTGAATTAAAGTTTAAGAAAAGTGTTAATCCAATGAGCACTGTGCTTGACGCATTGATGTTCATCTTTCCATTGAGATTAATATGTGCGTTCGTTTCAACTGTCAATATCGCGCCATTTGTGATGTTTAAACTTTTGCCTTGTATTTGTAAATCATAACTGTAATATGTGCAACTTTTTAAAATAGTTATAGTTGAACTTGAATCAAGTGGAATATTACACTCTTGTCCACTACAGAAAAGAATCAAGAAAACAAAATAAACACAAAAAAGACTTTTGAGAGTCATTTGCAGTTTGAAATCGTAGATTGAGTTGAATACAATTATAGAGCCCTTCACATAATATTTTCTTTTCGTTTTAAATCCTTTAAATACTGCATTAAAGTTATAGTTTTATTAAATTAATGTATATAGTACATATTAATTTAATCACTTATTATTTTCATTTCGTTTATTTTATAATTGTAAAAGTTATTTTTTTATTTCGAAGCAATATTATGTTTATAACTACAATTATTAATTTAATTTATTATAATGTATAATAACAATAATTAAAAAAGAATCAATCACATGATTTTATTTTAAGGTTTTTTAAAATATTTTGTTGATATTTGGAGGAATAAATTTGGATAATAAATCCTTCTATTTTTTTGTTTTTTTCAATAACTTTTAAAAAAGAGTCTGTCATTTTTTTATTAACAAACAAAAAATTGCTTATTTATTGTAAATGTTGTGCGTAAAAAATGTGAAATAATTTTATACAATTATTGTCGGTTTAACAACTTTATTTATTATCTTTTGGACCAAACCAAGTTAATAATTGTGGGATCTTTTTAAATTAAAAAATTCCACTTTTTTATTTACATCTTTGAAAATATTAAGTAATATCATTTTATTTGTATAATATTTCAAATTAATAAAGTTGTTAAGCTGTCTGTAATATACAAATTATAAATTGATTAAAAAACTGTTTAAATTTAATAAAAAAAGACTTGATAAAATTTATTTACATTATTATCTATAATCTGTGTATTTTTAGAATAATTATGTTACTAATATTTTTAATTAAAAATTTATTGATTAATATTTAAAACAAATTATTTTCAATGAAAAAATGAATTATTTCAAAAGTTGAATACTAAAATTCCCTTTTCTTCATATTCTTGTTTTGACACAAATGTTGTTGTCGATTGATTAGCATAAACGACACTACCCCAAAATGCTCCAAATGCTCTATTTTCTTGTGCAATTATATTCACGTTAGTTCCTTCAGGTGCGAGTAACTGAAGTTCTTTTTTAAGTCTTTCCACGTATCCTTTGAACAATGTGTTCCCGCCAGAAAATATAATATTCCCATATAGTTCATTTCTCATTTCTTCTGGGCATTTATTAATACTTTCCACGATTTTCTCTTGGATGGGTTTTGTTTCTTTACTGCCAAGTACACTCATATCAAAAATTCTTGGTTCAAATATGATTTCCAGAGAAACAAACAAGAATCTTCCCATATTGACACATCACCATCTGGTTTCTCATACCAATTGC